ACTTACAACAGTTCATTTAATGACTGTTCAAAGTTACAGTGGCACTGAAAAAGTGATTTATAACGGTTTTTCACACTTACAACCATTGCAGCATCCCCCGTGGTCACATGATCAAAATTCAGACGCTTGGCAACTGATTCATATTTATGACCGTTTCAGTGTCCCATAGTCATATGATCACCCTTTGTGACCTTCTGACAAGCAAAGTCAATAGGGAAGCCAGATTCACTTAACAACCGTGTCACTAACTTAACAATTGCAGTAATTCACTTAATAGCTGTGGTAAGGAAGGTCGTAAAATGGGGCAAAACTCAACTGTCTTATTTAGCAACATAAATTTGGGGCTCAGTCAAAAACTACCTGTATAAATGTAGAAATAAACAGTAAATACATACCAATTTAACTTAAGAATTTCAAGTCCCATGCTTACAATATATATTCTGATCTATTAGAGATTTCTGCCAGAACTTCCAAGTCTCTTCCAAATAACATGAAATGCTGAGTGATAGAACATAGAATAGAGTTGGAAGGGATCTTGGAGACTTCTAGTTCAATCCTCTCTTCAAGCAGGAGTCCTCAAGAGGAATGCTCCTCTCCAGACAATTGGCTACCCAGTCTCTTCTTAAAAGTCTCCAGTGATGGAACACTCACAACTTCTGAAGGCAATCCTCTCCGCTGGTTGATTGCTCGCACCATTAAGAAATTTCTTCTTAGTTCTAGGTTGCTTCTTTCCTTGGTTAGTTTCCAACCATTGTCTTGCCTGGAAAATAGTTTGACCCTCTCATTTTTGTAAGAACTCCTCAAATATTGGAACAATGCTATCAACTCATTTCCAAATCTGTTTTTTGCTCAAACATTAAAATATGCAGCTCAAATAGTAGGCTTTCATTTAATAATTGTATTTCAGACTGTAAAAATGAATTATTTAAGGAATAATCATACAATTTAAAAACCTGCCATTTGGGCAGTATGTTCATGCAAGAATACAGATATGCTCTATCTGATTTTCTGCATGTTGGAGATATGAGAGGAGGGCTTTCTCTGCCCACTTTAATTTAAATTTTAAACACACGTTCCACTGTAGAACCGCATTATCTACCATTTTATCATATCTAGGTCTTAAGGAGCACTAGTGACTCTATCTCAATGCCTGGATGAGGGGAAAAATGGATAATGTCCCAAATGTGTAGCAAAAGACAACACCAGTTTCTAAGAGTATTAGAGCAGATATGAAGCATCCTGAACTATCATCCTCCTTTGTTCCTTTCCCTGTAGCAAAATGACAAAACAGGCAAGCACTAACTAATGAAATGTGGCAAAGAGACACATTAAGTATGTTAGTGTTCCAACTATATGATAAGCCACTGGTAAGTAACACTTCATGGTCCCTAAAATGTGCAAAGGCTTTAGTTGAACATTAATATTTGACAGTATTAATCTTATTAGATTTTTATTTCAGTTTCATATTTATGAAAAATAAAAATAAGCTTTAACTGTAAAAATAAGCACAGACTAATCAAACTGTTTTTTTAGACTGAATGTTCCTAAGAGTGCACTAATTCCACTGACTAAAGAAGATCAGAGTAAACTAACTGCTTTACAGGCAAGACCATACACTGCTCATGAGTCAGCCTGGAAAAAAGAAGTAAGTATAGATCATAATAAATTCTGTATTTTATATTGTAAGCAGTTTTAACAGCAGATTCATTTATATTCTGCTGTTAGAGTTCTATTACGTAATGCAACTACTGTATATGTGCCCTCTTTAACTTGAGAATGACTAATTAAATAACTCCACATGAGCCTTCCTGTTATCTTCAGCCCATAGCTGATGTCAAGGGACTGGTTGCTATGAGCCAAAATTTAACTAGTGTTTTCTTCAACGTTTCTTTGATCTTAGATGATATGTTGCATTTGACAGCAATGAACTGATTATACAATAATTTGTCCATCATCTATTGGCTACTTGACTGGGGCATGTATGTCATTTCAGTCCACTCTCCTCTGAACAGTATGCCAGCAGCCATATTGGCAAGTTATTGTTCCCTTATGGTGTGTTCTATGCAGGGATCCCACAAATCCTTTATACAGTGTGTCAATATCCACGTCAGCCGTTACATGTGATGGCAGCCCTTGTTTTAAGTGGGAAAGTCTTCTTGATACATCCAGAGCTGCAGCCTAGTGTGAAACATTAGCATAGCTACAGCAGTAGACTATCAACTTGAGATCCCTTGTAAAGTGTGCTGATAAATTGTGGGAGTCTGGCAATACAGACACAGAAAATCCATGCTGACATGTTTGTGTTGCCTCATGGACCTAGAGGATAATACAGCTGGGTTTATGGAATTCTACTTGTCTCTATTAGTATTAGAAAAGAATTGAAAAGAACTCCAGAACTCAGGTGCTCCTCTCTGCTGTTCAACATAAGCATTAGCTCGCTAGCCTAAATAATTTTTTAAAAACAATTTTGATATTTGAATCAAGAAATAGTTTAAAAACAGATCTGCATAATATAGCTTTGGCCTAAGCACCTTTGAACTGGATAAAATGTCTTAATGATTAGAAGCAGGTCTAAACATGCCTTCCTGCGTAAGGGCAAAACAAGGTGTGCTTCCAGAGGACTTTACAGATTCTAGTGTAGAAGAGGACAGCGGAAAGTTGTCTCATGCTATAACACAGTTGAGGCTTAAATGCCTACCTAAAAAGGCAAAGAACATTGGCATTTAGTAGCTGCCTATGGCTAAAGGAAATGTCTGAGATGTATAGGCTTGACTTGTCCTGACAATGCGCTAGATTTAAAAGATGTAAATGAGGACAGAGAGGCAACAGGCAATTCATCTGGCACAATACTTTAGTAAAATAACCTCTGTAGCAAATAACCTCTGATGGTCTGTATTTTTGTATTTTTATGTTTTATTTTGTAATTTACATTTTATATTTATAATGTGGAATACGTGGCATAAAATGCTTGTCTTTTGAATGATGCATCTATATTAATGTTGATTGAAATGTTAATTTCCAATGCTTTTCTTTTACAGTTAGATATTATGGAAACATCTAAAATGAAGGCTGAAATTCAAGCTCTCGCTTCATTTTCAACAGATTATCTTTCCAGGATATATTTGCCAAACAAGCTACAATTCGGTGGATGGATATGAATACCAGGACACTTTTAAAGATGTTTAATGAGTATTTTGACAGAATATAAATATTAAAAAAGTGAAAAGATGTAGAACATATAAGGAAACAAAAGAGAAGGTATAGATGGACTACATTCCTAATGGACTATAATTTATTTCAGAGGTGTTAAGGCAGGTCATACAAAATTTTCAGTTATGTAAAATATTTTCTATGTGAATTAGTATTCTCTTTAATTTTCCTTTTTGATAGGAAGAATGATTTCTGATCTATTCTAATTAGTTTTCACATTTTATAATTGCATGTTTCAAAGAAAAAATACAGATGACAAAAGGATAGTAATATTGTTTCACAAATGCTTTATCAGTTTACTAATTAATTAAAAGGATGTTTATAATGTATTGAGTTTAAAATATGATATAAATATAAAATTATAATAAACCAAGTAAGAAAGTCTTTATCATTATTCCCCCTAGTTTAAATTTGTGACTATACCCTTCTTCCAAAAGGAGGGAACAGTTATATTCAGGTAGTCCTCAACTTACGCCTTAAATTTCTGTTGATGAGTGAGACATTTGTTAAATGCATTTCCCCCATTTTTACAACTTTTCTTGCTAGTGTTGTTAAGTGCAGCTGATAACATGGTTGTTCAGTGAATCTGGCTTTCCTATTTTGCTTGTCAAAAGGTTGAAAAAGGTGATCACATGACTATGGGACACTGCAACGTTCATAAATATGAAGCAGTTGTTAAGCATCTGAATGTTGATCACATGATCATGGGGATACTTACAAAGGTTGTGTGAAAAATGGTCAAAGTCAATTTTTGCAGTGCCTATGTAACTTCAAAAGGTCACCAAATGAAGTGTTGTAAGTCAAAGGCTACCTGTGACTAATATGTCTTTTGACAATAGTGAAGCAACAGTGAAAGAGCCATTAACACACTTCAGATGCAATCCTCTATGGAGATTCTCAGTCATCCAGGTTATGGTTGTCCCAAAGGTGCTTTTTTCCAAGAGGCAACTAGACTTTCTGTTTTTCTTTGAAGATGTTTCGCTTCTCATCCAAGAAGCTTCTTCTGTTCTGATTGAAGAAAGCTCCAAGTGGCCTCAACAACTTTGTAAAAAGAATGCAAATAACCAGCTGTGTGCAAGGTGTATAAATCCTTCCATTCCCCACCATTCGGTCAGAGCCAAAGAAGCTTCTTGGATGAGAAGTGAAACGTCTTCAAAGAAAAAAAAACCTAGAAAGTCCAGTTGCTCCTTGAAAAAAGCCCCTTTGGGATACATATGGAATCATTAGCATCCACAGTTCGAATCTCATCGACTCAAGTGTCTATGGAGATTCTCAATCATCAAGGTCATGTTATCCCAAAGGTGCTTTTTCAGGTGGCAACTGGAGTTTCTGGTTTTTCTTTGAAGACATTTCACTTCTCATCCAAGAAGCTTCTTCAGCTCTTTTTTTCTTTGAACGTCTTCAAAAAAAAATCCAGAAAGCCCAGTTGCCTCTTGAAAAAGCACCTTTGGGACACCGACTCAAGGCTGACTCAACCTTCCATCCTTCTGAAGTGGGTAAAATGAGGACCCAGATTGTTGGGGGCAATATGCTGGCTCTGTAAACCACTTAGAGAGGGCTTTAAAGCACTGTGAGGCGGTATATAAGTCTAAGTGCTATTGCTATGTGGTCAGGAGCCTGAGAGAGTGAGCATCTAGCGCAGCCCGAGACCCCAAGTCTGACCAGCTACTTTTACAGCATGCTCAGCAAGAAGATCGCCCACCCAGCGAAATGGACAAACGCCGACACGTCACGCCCCACCACTAACCCGCCAGTTCTGTGGACGAATGAGAACGAACCTGGCTTGGCGCATGCGCAGTGAAGAAGGGCCTAGGCTTCGCGGATAATCCCAACCGTCCCGACCGGCGTGTTGGCTTGAGGGAAGTGGAGGATTGATAGGTGGGTGTAATTTTTTTCCCTCCTTTCGGCCGGGCCGAGTCGCGTGCCTGCCTCTTCGGATAAGTCTTCTCTCCGGAAAAGCGTTTCCGAGAGAGGCGAGGCGGCTTAACGTCGGCCAGGGCTCCGTCCATCCTCCTGCTTCGCTCTCTGGGTCCCTGTCCTTTTCTGAGGACCGTTGAGGCGGATGGCGCGCCGTTAAAACTACGAGCTAAATAGCTTCCTTTACTTCCCCAACTCTGATCGGAAGAGAGCAGGCGCCTGCCCTCTACCGCATCCTAGTCGGGCGTGCTCTTCCCTTAACCGGCACCCCGTCTTTCGGTGCGTTGGACCGCTCCCCATAATTCCCAGCCGGCTCACCTGAGGTTATTGGATCTGCAGTCCCCACTCGTGGCGAGATAGGAAGACAGATACGATCTGGGTCCTCGCTGTCCATCAGTCAGGCAAAGGGCTGGGTTTGGGTGGGGGGGGGGAGACTCGCTGAGTCTGAAGGGAGACTTTCTGAATTAAAATAACAGAATATTCTATTCTATTGTAATATTGGCCACCCAACGGGACATTTTGGTTCCCATGGAAACCCAAAATCCGGCTGTCAAGAGTACTACTGAGTCCATACCAGAATGATCTAATGGAAACATCCACATCGCTTCAGAAGGACGACCCTATTGATTGCAATGGGACCAAAACTATACCAGGTTTTTTTCCTCCAAATTTGGCAACTTTAACACAATTCTTCAGCCTGATTGCTGGTTGGGAAATTCTGGGAGTCGAGGTCTTGCCATTCTAAAGTTGCCAAATTTAAAAAAATAAATGGATGGATGGATAGATCTATCTCAAGATGAGAAACATATAAATACTACTTCTCCTATGAGGTGGGTTTCGTTGAGAGTGACTGACCAGACGTCACCCAATCTTTTATGCCCAAGAGAGTCTGTAGAGATTCTCAGTCATCTAGGTCATGGTGGTCCCAAAGGTGCTTTTTCAGGAGGCAACTGGACTTTCTTGTTATTTTCTTTTTGAAGACATTTTGCTTCTCATCCAGGAAGCTTCTTCAGCTCTGACAGGATAGTAATCCTTCCATTCCCCACTATCCCGTCAGAAATGAAGAAGCTTCTTGGAAAGGAAGTAAAACATCTTCAAAAAGAAAAAAAAACAAGAAAGTCCAGTTGCCTCTTGAAAAAGCACTTTTGGGACATGCCTAAGAGAGCCTTCCTTCCTTCCTTCCTTCCTTCCTTCCTTCCTTCCTTTTTTATTGGCCACCCATCTTACCACAGGGTAACTCTGGGCAGCTCACAATCATAAAAAATGTATTTATACATATACATTAAAACATAAATAAATTAAAACCAAACATTAAAATCTAATGACATGAGGGGAGGGGCAGAGGGGAGGGAGTGGGATCTGTTCAAACTCACTGTCTCCCAGTACTCAAATCCTTGCATCAAAGTAGCTCTAATTCCCATCTAAGGAATACCCTTATGATTCTGCCCAAAGACATGTTCCATTCAGCGAAGTATTATTTATTGGCTGTCCTAGAATGTATTGTAATATAATGTACTTTAAGAAACATTAAAATTTGTAAAGAAAGCTCTCCCCATTAAAAATAAAAAGATAATGTGGCTAATATATACAGATTAAATAAATTTCAGTTGAAAGTATAAACCCAAGATTAAATATGTTGTAGAAGATACTAGAGTGCTTAAGTCCATGTATGTCTCACAACAAGCAACTTTGAAGTTTAAGCTAGATAAGGATTCAGACTAAAGATTTTCCAAGTACTGTAAATGATAATGTGCTGGAAAGGGCCTTAAGCCTACGACAGATATCACCTGTCTAGAGAGTAACTGCAGATGAAAAATGAGGCATGTGGTGATGGTGTTTTTACATTTATTTATATATAAACTGTTTTCAATTATAAAAGCAGCCTATATTATCAATAAGAGTTATTTAATATGTTATATTGATTTTTGAACACTCTGTATAATAAATAACTTCCAGAAATTCATTTGCATTCTTATAACAGGACCAAGATGAGTTTGTTTGGGTCAACATCAGGATTTGGAACTGGAGGCACCAGCATGTTTGGCACCACTGCTACAGATAATCACAACCCAATGAAGGTATTAAGTTCTGGATGCCATGAGAAAAACTAAATCACTTCACATAAATATTTTGAAAATTATTAAATTTAAGAGATGGCAGGTTTGCCTATTAGTATATGTGTATAATTCCTTTGGCTGAATTCAAATATTGGTTTAAGTTTATGCATTATTGCTGTGAGATTTTGAGACTGCAATAAAGTAGCTGTTAGAACTGTCATTCAAATAGCTACTACAGTTGTAGAGCCTTAAGAATATTCAGAAAAAAGTGCTTTAGACCTCACACAAGGACACAAGCCTCTGCTATTTTTTAAAAGAGCTTGACATTTCATATTTCCATTTCACTTTTGAAGTATGCAAACTTCGATAGCTTTACAAGATTTAATAGGTTCTTTGACCAAAGAAAGGAAAGGAGAAAGAGTAGTATATTGATCTTATAAAGTGTTATATTTAATTGATACTTACCTTTTGCTTACAAAACATCAATTTTAGGTTATGTGGGTATGTTTTCTGTAGCATATCATTTTTGATACAATGATATTTATTGGAGAAAAGTGTAATTTTATTTTTCTAAGGTTTTTTTCCCATTGTAGAAGTGTACTCTCAATTTGACTCTTCTAATTGGATTTTTGAAAAGTGTATGTGTTTACAATATGTTTAACTTTGACTTTTTTCCAGGATATTGAAGTTACTTCTCCACCTGATGACAGCATAGGTTGTTTGGCTTTCAGCCCACCAACATTGCCGGGTAATTTCCTTATTGCAGGATCATGGGCAAATGATGTAAGTAACTAATGAAAATAGATAGAGGCATATCATGCGTTCAGCTTTCCCTGCATTTCCGGCAAGGAAAATGACTGCATCTAGCAGACAAAATGTGATATCCATAAGTGGGAAATGGTTAAGGTAACTGCATCCTCTATGAGACAAAGTGAGCTTGTAGCAAAGTATTAGCAGTGAAGAAGTGCTGCAATTTAATAGTTTGTTTTAAAGGTATCTCAGAACAAAACCTCTCATAGTAGTAAAATGGAAATGAGTTAGGTAAAAATTTCAGGACTGGACTACTAATTGATTTCATTTCATCAAATTTCTATTAACTGATGCACTAAATTTGAAAAATAGTTTACAATATCTAAATCTGGAGCAAGGTGGTATTGCTGCTTGGGCTTCTATGAGCTGGTGTCTGTTTCATCAAAAAACCAGTTTCAGTTTTCTATTTAATGAACCATTCTCTCATGGAATGGAAAACTACTAAGAGAAGTGTGGCCCAGTTACTATATAAATTGATCTCAAAGGCCTTGAATTGAGCTTCTGGGGGGGGGGGGAGGTAGTCTAATCTTAACACCTTGTTGCATTTTTATAAAGCTAAATGTACTTAATTGTTAAAAAGACAGGGTAAAATACTTACATTCAAGTGCTATTTAATTCATATTTACAAAAGTCTCCATTTATTTCAGGTTCGTTGTTGGGAAATCCAAGACAACGGGCAAACTATTCCAAAAGCCCAACAGATGCATACAGGACCAGTACTAGATGTTTGCTGGAGTGATGTAAGTTCCATTATTTTGGAAGAGATGTACTTAAAATTTTATAGTGGTTTTCAGAGGAGGAGGCGTGTGAGATCAAAATCACTGTCTGAAAGCAATAGTGGAGGAAATTATCCTGGAATGAGAAAAGCACCCCTATTTTAGAGGTTTAACCATTGAAAATCACAGTACAGGTAGTCCTCAACCTATGACCACAATTGAGCCCAAATAACACATTTATTACATGAGTTTTGTCTCATTTTATGGCCTTTCTTTCCACAGTTGTTAAGTGAATCAATACAGTTAATAAGTTAGTAACATGGTTCTTAGAATTTTGATCACATGATTCTGGGAATGTTGCAGAGGACGTAACTATGAAAAATAGTCATAAGTCACTTTTTCAGTGCCATTGTAACTTTGAATTATCACTAAATGAACTGTAATCGAGGACTACCTGTATTTCTTTTTAAAATGTCTCCACCCTCAGTATGCATTATGGAGTACATAGGTTTTTTTTGTTCTCTGTTGTTTAATAGGACGGAAGTAAAGTTTTCACAGGGTCTTGTGATAAAACTGCCAAAATGTGGGATCTTAACAGCAATCAAGCAATACAAATTGCACAGGTACAATTTTCAAATGGACATTGTTTTCTTTGTAACAAATTCAACACAAAGCTTTTGATGAACGTTTCTCCCACAAAAGGGGGGGGGGGGGAAGCTTATTAGAAACAGTACTTAAAAGTTTCCTTGCAGAATGCAGAAAACTCAAACTGAGTGACTGTGCATACCAGGAGTCCTCAACCTCTGTTCTGTGGATCAGAACTAGTCTGTTGCCTGTTGGAAACCAAACGGGCAAGCACACAAAGCTCCATTTTGACATGCGCAGGATTAGGGTGCATGCGTAAAACCATACCCCACCCCCCTGCTGCCGGTCTGGAGTCAGAAAGGTTGGGGACCACTGATGTATACTAATGCATTGGCCTCACTTAATTCTAATTTCTAAGAAAGGATACAAATCTTTGTCAATATTTTAAATGATGGAGCTGCGTGGGAAGAAAGTATACATGATGCTTTGATTACACAGTCTTATCCCTAAGACACTTTTTTCTTAAGTGGAATAAAAAAATGATTATATTTTTTTATTGGAATGTAATATACACTTTTCAAATTATTCCTTCTCTATGAAGTAGTTTCCAGATATTTGAAAACTATGAACTGAAATATAATGAACTTGGTGCTAATGGAGTGAGATCTGTGGGTTTGAATTAAAACGTGATGTGTTTTTAATGGGACCAGAAATGTAACAAGTCTATATTAAATGGAAGAGCACAGGAAAGAAGTAAGAGCCTTACCAAAGGGATTACAAAAGCAAGGCTAGGCCATTTTTTTACAGAAAAGTGAAATCTGTAATTGCATGAATGGAAAGTGATTAAAGAATTCTTTTAAACATTCTTTAGCATGAAGCTCCTGTAAAGACCATCCATTGGATTAAAGCACCAAATTATAGTTGTGTGATGACTGGAAGTTGGGATAAAACATTAAAGGTAAGACTTGTATGTTTTTTTGATGTGTAAAAAGGTTTTATGCAGTTCTGTGTAATAATTATTATGGAAAAATGATTGCTAGTACATACTAGAATAAAGTGTAATGCATTCCTGTAAATGTGAGGCTTATTTCCAAGTGAATGTACTTGAGGGTGAAATCTAATGGTTGATTCAAGTAATTTATTGAGAGAAGTCTCTATTCCACAATATCCATTTAACATATTCTTTCCAAGTTAGTGCCAATATATTTCTGGGTATTATAATGGATATATATGAAATGCTTTGAACTTTTTGCAATTAGGAGCAATTGTTTTTTGTCTATTATATTTGTAACACTTTTTTAGCAATGCTTTTTAAAAATGCAGTTTTTTAAGCATAATAAAAAATACAGATGAATGCTCCAGAGAATTATCTATATCAATAAAAAAGTACATTTTCAGAAACTGGGCCATGCTTAAAGCACTTCAAATGGTAGAGGTCAATATTGAGAGTTCCACCAAAAAGAATCTTATCTAAGTATATCAAATTCCAATATAAAAAATGCTTGCAAGTCTTTTGAATTGATCCTTATTCATTCAGTTGAAAAGGTAAGAACTGAGCCCAAGCATGACTTATTCAACCATTTGCTCATTTGTACCTTCAGCCTCCCACATTCATTATATTATATTTCCTGAATCAATTTTGGTTAGGGTTTGGAGCCGTTTCAAAGTGAAATGATGAATGATCGTTCTGCTACTATATAAAAGAATTTGTTGAGGCCTTATTGAACTTTTTTTTTTAAAGTTTTGGGATACACGAACACCCACCCCAATGATGATGCTACAGTTGCCTGAACGATGCTATTGTGCTGATGTGGTAAGATGAATTTCAGAAGCCTTCGGGCTTTGATTAGTTAGAATCATGCCATGCTTGACTATCACTCTTTTCTCTATATTGTGGTAATTAGTGGTATTTGTATTATGTGTTATGATAATGAAATAGATGTACAGTTACTGCAGGAAAAAAGCATGTGATTGAATTTTGTATTAAATACTTTCCTGTTTAGGTGTGAATGTGAAATAAAACACTTTTTACTACATAACTCTGTCTGTACTCTCACACAATTTCTCCTGTTTTAGATATATCCCATGGCTGTTGTTGCTACTGCAGAAAGGGGCTTGATAGTTTACCAGTTAGAGAATCAGCCTTCTGAATTTAGAAGGATAGACTCTCCACTTAAACATCAGGTAACCTGAGTTTTCTTGATTTCCCCAGTATGGCTTGTTTTTAATTGTAACAGATCGTCCTCAACATACAAATACAATTCAGTCTAAAATTTCTATTGATAGGAGAGACATCTGTTAAGTGAATTTTGCCCCATTTTACGACCTATCTTGCCACAGTTAAGTGAATCACTAGAGTTGTTAAGTTAGCAACACGGTTAAGTAAATCTGCTTCTGACTTGGCTTGTCAGAAGGTCGCAAAGGGTGATCACATGACCCCGGAACACTGCAGTTATTATTATGAGTCAGTTGCCAAGCAATTGAATTTTGATCACTTGACCTTGATACTGCAATGGTCGTATGTGTGGATGACAATCATGTCACTTTTTCAGTGACATTGTAACTTTGAACAGTCACTAAATTGTTGTAAATTAAGGACTACCTGAATGCTAGCATTGGTTTCTTATTTCTAATGGGATAATTAGAAAGCTGTAACTGCCATATATGAAAGTACTGATTAAAATACAGTCCCTTTTATTTAGCATCGCTGTGTGGCTATTTTCAAAGACAAAGTGAACAAACCAACAGGCTTTGCCCTTGGAAGTATCGAAGGAAGAGTTGCCATTCATTATATTAATCCACCAAATCCGTAAGTATTTGGCAATGGTCTCCTGTTTACTTTTGAATTCCAAGAAGTGCAGAGTTATTTTAGAATAACTCTGTGTTGCATGCAATGTGAAGTGAAAGAATGCATTTTTTTTCAGCGCCAAAGACAACTTTACCTTCAAATGCCATCGATCCAATGGTACAAACACCTCTGCGCCTCAGGATATCTATGCAGTAAGTATTTTGTATGTTGTACAGTAAGTTTCCTCTAGGACAAATTAAAGGAGAAAAATGGATATTTATAATAAATTACAAAAAGAATTGCTGTTTTCAAATCAGTACATTTTCACTTAGTATCACACATCTGAGTGGAAACCTACTCTGACAAGCTCTAGTAACGTGATGGCAAATCTATGGCACGCGTGCCACAGGTGGCACACACAACCATATCTGTCGGCACACAAGTACATGCACCTGCCGCCATCTTATTTTCAGCCTTCTGGAAGGCGGGTGGGGACGTTTTCACCCTCCCCATGTTTCAGGAAAGCCTCTGAAGCCAGGGAAGGGCAAAAATGGGCCCAACGAGCCTACCGGAAGTTCGGAAATGATCCGTTTCCAGCTTCCAGGGGGCAGGGGAGCTGCTCTGGGGGCTTTCCTGAAGCCTGGAGAGGGTGAAAAATGGCCTCCCCCAACCCCCAGGAGGAAATACCAAGGTCAGCTTGGAGGTAAGTAATGTGGCATGCATGGGGGGGGGAAGTATGGGAGGGTGTTGTGTGCACATACGCACGAGGCGGGGCATTTGCATTATGGGTGCACTCACATTTTTGGCACCCAACAGCAAAAAGGTTAGTCATCGCTGCTCTAATATATTTGATAAGTAGGATTCAGAATTTTGCTAATACAAAAGAAAAAGAAGTTACAGTATGCCTTGGTTCTGATTAAAATTCTACAGATAAAGCAATTATGCTTTAGCTTGAGGAAATGAAAAGAACAACCCTTCCTACTTCAAATGCTTGCATTACTTGACCAATGGCTCCCATCATTCTTTCCCTTATAAATTAATTGCAATCATTTTACAAGAATAAAATATGGTGAGAAAAGTAATGGAAGTGAGTGCTTTAATCACTATATGGGAAAGCAATACTGTCTCTCATTGTCTAAAGCAGAGTTTGCAGTTGGCAGCCTACCATATATTGCTGAATCTAAACTCAGATTACTAAACCAGTTGTGAAGAATACTGGCTGTTTAAGAATCATGTTGTTCAAAGGTGTATTCTCTGAATCCAGTCCATGAGATGGACTCTGAATCCATGGGAAGCTAACCTAAAGTATTTCTGACAGATAACTGTCTACTTTCCACTTGAACGCAACCGGCAAGGAGAGGCCACTGTATTTAATAATTGCAGCCATTATCAAACTGCTTTAACAGTTAGGAAGAGTTTTTTTTTTTCCTAACATTCCCTTGGGCTTTGCTTTTCTGTATATTGAATCCACTATTTGGTGGAATTCCGAAATAGTAGATAACAGGTCGTGCTTTTCTTTTGTGATATATCATTTCAAGTATTTGAAGAGTGCTGCCATATGACTCTTAGTCTTGTCCCGAGGTTAAATATTTTCAGATCCTTCTGTCTCTCTTAGGTTTCCAGTTCATTCTTATTTCGCTTAACTGAACTGATTCCAATTATTGTAAATCTTTCCTAAAACAAAGTGCCAGAATTGGACCTGGATTTGATTATTGCAGAGTAAAGTGGAGCTATTATTTGGAACTTTTTTGTGCCACAACTACAAAGCTTTTTTCTCATACTTTTTAAATTATAAGCTTGGTAAAGTGGGGTTTCAATCTTCATTACTGAGAGCATGTGAACATTCAAATTATACTTTAACTTTTACTTAACAGGTAAATGGGATTGCCTTCCATCCTGCCCACGGCACTCTTGCAACTGTGGGGTCTGATGGCAGATTCAGTTTCTGGGATAAAGATGCGCGGACAAAGCTAAAAACATCTGAACAGCTAGACCAGCCGATATCTGCTTGTTGCTTCAACCATAATGGCAACATATTTGCATATGCTTCTAGTTATGACTGGTCAAAGGTAATTGAGTTTGCTTAACATAATTTCTACCGTGTTTCCCCAAAAATATGACATGTCCTGATAATAAGGCAATGCCACATTTTTCAGGTGAGCAAAAATGTAAGCCCTCCCCTAAAAATAAACCCCCTGGACAATCCCCCTCCAGCCATGCAGAGCACCACTCACCGACCTGTCGGTAGCCCGAAGGTGCCAAGCTGCAGGAACGGGATGGGAGTGGGGCAAAGGCTCGCGTTGCTTGGCACCTTTAGGATACCACTAGGTTGGTGAGTGCTGCTGTGCCCAGCTGGAGAGAGGGGCTGCTGGGTGGTTGCTCTCTTGCAAGCGGGCTCCCGAAGAGCCGGGCACAGCCTCAGGGTCGAATGGCTATGTTGCGTGTTGCAGCAGCCGCCCGACAAACCCCCTTTCCAGCCGGGCACAGTGCCATTCACTGACCTAGGGGTATTACCAAACCGCATGAGCGGCTGTTCACCGCTCTCCAGCTCCTGCTGCTTGGCACCTTCGGAATGCCCCTAGGTCAGTGAATGGTGCTCTGCATGGCTGGAGAGGGGGGTTGCACGAGTGGGTTTTCAGCTCCCCACTCGTGTGCCTCCCAGCCTCACGATGCCCTTGCCTAACTCTCCCTATAGAGCCAGGGCACCTCTGCTGCCACCGCAGCCACCTGACTCTTTCTGCGGCTCCCAAAGCACGGAGGTAGAATGCCGAGTCTTCTGGAAGTTGCCACTCTGGGAATACGCTCTATGGTTGTACGCTCTCCCAGCAGCTAGCCCACAACCTTAGAGCGTACTCCCAGAGCGGCCGCTGCCGGAAGATTCCGCTGCGGATCTCTGGAGTTTAGAAGCCAGAGAATAGGTTATATTCGGAGTGCCGCGGCACCCTGGCCCTGCAGGAAGAGCTGGGCCAGGGCATGGTGAGGCTGGGAGGCACACAAGCTGGGGAACAGCTTCCCTTTCCAGCTGGGCAGAGTGCCATGCACTGACCTAAGGGTATCCCGAATGCGCCAAGCCGTGGGAGCTAGGGGGAGGGCAGAACACCACTCGGCTTACCACCTTTGGGATATCATTGCATCTGTGAGTGGCGCTCTGGAAAGGGGGGTTGTCAGGTGGCTGCTCGTGAGCGTAGTCACCTCATGGCTGGTATGTTATGCTGCTGCAACA